TATAATGCACGCTGAGGAAGCCGGTCAACTGGTATACGGAAGAAACATGGCCTAGCCAACGCAAGAGGTTAAGATTCAGCACACACTCCAGTGAGGCACCAGAGGACTTCTTGCCAAAAACCAACTGGCGGACCTCAGCATCGCTCACCCGCTGTTCCTACCAGACGTGAGCAATACTCCGCAAGCACCGGTGGTCAAATACGACCAAGCGTTTAATGTCTTCGTCGTGAACTGGCTTGGTCTCTGATCCATACAGTAACACAGGCCTTACCGCAGCGTTATACAACCTACCCTTCACTGACAGGCTGATATCCCGCCGTCTCCATGGATGGTTGAGTCTTTGAAAAGCCGCGCGAGCCTTACTGATACGGGAAGTAACTTCTACAGTGATGTGACCACCAGTTCACTTACCTTGGTAGCTGTTTCACAGTTAGTGGTGTCATATTGGCTCAATGGAAGAAAGCCAGAGATGCCATGTCACAAATCAGATGCATTCGTCTTATCGAAGGCGATGTAGCACCATGTAAGGTACAAGATAACCGAAATATTACTGCCTTGAAACTTGATGGCCAATTCACAGTATATATTTCTGGACTCTACGTCTTGCAACCCCTGCCAGTGGGAATTCCTAGCTGGGATCATTAATTCGCACGACCGTGGCTTATGCGAAATGACCATGTAGCTTGACATGCATAAGGCTTTCGATCGTGTACCTCATAGCCGTCTTCTGACTGAGCTTCAGACACGGTGAAAAGGACCACTTTCTGGCTTGGTTTAGATGGTACCTCTATAGTCGCTCACAGAGAGTACAAATACAAGGTAAATCTCCAGCCAATGCTGTTAGCAGCGGGGTAATAAGAAGCAGTGTCCTCGGTCCATTGCTGTTTCTAATATACGTGAGTGACAGCTTCAATTCGGTACGCTATTTATTTTGTCGATGACACAAAACAGTTTAATCATTAAAGCATACCTACCATTTTCAGCAATAGGTTAACGAAAATGAAGTTCAAACCACATGCGCTATAAACTCGGTGCACTACGTGGAGAATGTCGTTCATTACTGACAAACGTAGCACCATGTCATCCAAGTGCAATATTAAGCGTAATACTATGAACCATGATGGTAAATCACTTCCTCATTATCGTTCTATTCCTGACCTGATGCCATTTTGGCTATGCTTCCTTAACTTCCCAGTGCAGATGTACTATACAACATCTAGAGCGAAACAGTGTCTCAGTACTATTTAGAAACTTCTCCGTATAAGATTCTATTCAGTCTATGAATCCTGTTCTCCCTTAACTTGGATGCTTCACGGTAATACGCCGGCACACCGCAATGACGCTTCGCTGCCACGCAAATACCAGTAGTTGCGCGAGGGCTCAGCATACCGCAGAGTCACTGGCCCATGGACTGCTTGGTAATCCGGGAGCGCGGGTTCCAGCCTGCGTAGGGTACCAGAATACCCTTGCAGTATCCTTAGCCCACGCGCGACTGTTGGTTGTTGCGCGGCAGCGAAGCGTCTGTACTATGTAGCGGCGTACTGCTGATACCTTTATACCGCAGGGTCGTCCACCCCTATGCGTATTCGAACTGGTGACTGCCAAGATTACAAGGTAAGCGTGTAATCATTTAAGCCACCAGCCGACATGCCTTTCGGTGGTATGCAACAATACAAGTAAACATGATTGTAGCGCCATATAATAAAATGCAGCGAGCGTTCACTAAGTACCTTATAGATGTTTACTCAACGCTACCTAAATCTGAGCGGTGTCAACTAAGAAAGCTTGACCCACTATCGCTAGGACGCATAGTAGTGAACTAAATTTTGTTTTCCAATATTGTAAACAAACAGCACGCATCCCAAGCATAAATGTATCCCTTTGAGAGTCAAAGGTGCACAGTGAACACAATAAAAATATTCTGTGGCGGAGAGAATATCAAGGATAAACACGTCAGGAAAGTTCTTTTGGACGGGTTACACCAGAATACGAGGGGTGCTCAAAGAGAAACCGAAGTTTTGCTATAACTTCTTTATTGCTTATTGCACAACATTTTAATCACTTTCCTTCTCAAACAAGTCCTTCCTGCTGACAATACACCACTCCCAATGGTGCTTCCATTTCTGGTAAGTCTCCTGGAACGCATTTTCTGGGATAGCGCACAGGTCTCTTGTCGTATTTCCTGAATCTGCTCTATGGTTTGGAAACCGCGTCTTCTCAATGTGATTTTAAGTTTGGAACACAGGAAAAAGTCTGCATGGGCTAGGTCTAGAGAATACAATGGATGGCGCACAACGGCAGTGTGATATTTTTATAGATAGCTACGGACAAGGAGCGATGCGTGAGCCGGCGCATTGCCATGATACAACATCCAAGTCTGGTTTGCCAGCAGTTCAGGCCTCTTCCTGCGCACAGCTTTCCTCAAACGCGCTAGAATTTGACGGCATGATCCTACGCTGATGCCCACCTCGGTAGCAACTTCCCGAACAGTTACATGACGATTTACACGGATCACAGCACAAACGCTCTCGACATGGTCATCGTCTGTTGATGTGGAATGTCATCCAGGCTTGGGATCGGAACCGGCCGACATTCTACAATATTCAAAAAACTTGATTTACTTATAGCACTGCGTGCGACTCATACATTCCTCCCGGTATGATTGCCTAAGCAAATGAAATCTCTGTAAAAGTTTTGCCAAGTTTCTAGCAAAATTTCACACACGTGTTGTACTTTAAGCGCTTTCATTATTTCTTTGGCAAAAATTCTACGGACAGCTTGCGCACGTGCTTACTTCAGCGGCTGTATCCCCCCAACCAACAGTCAGAACGAAATGTGGCAAAGGACAGTTTGTTACCTAAGCAAGCCTACACATGCACTCAGTAGGCGCAACGCGCTACCTCTGACGGTTGCCTCGCTATTACGAAAGTTCGGTTTCGTATGGGACAAATCGCCAGCAGAGATGCCTATCAGTATATCGGAGCCCAATGGTGCTAAAAGATTGATAAATACCTGACATTCGATAAGGTAATTGGACGTTTGCGTTGTCCCATAACAATTCATCAAGCATATGGGCGAGATTTGGGCAGTATGAAAACAACGGTTACAAGTGGTTTTGCCAGTCGTAACAAGAAAACCTGTTGCTCCTTAATTTGCCTTCCTCTTCTGTTGCATTCCAAGTTTTATCAGGCTCAAACGTTCACTGTTGGTCAGCGGACCCACTGACACATTGATGTACACCAATCCCTACATTCCGTCCATCTCGGCCACGGATAATTCAGTTTAGTTTTAGTTAGCTTCATAGCTATTATGTGCTAGTCGAACTACTAGCAAATTGGTTGGTTGGACTCCCAAATCTAATTAATTAGTTCTATCATAACGTCAGTTCGAATGTACCTGCGCGAACACTTGTTGGTAGGTTGGACATCCAGGTCCTCTCAATTCATCTCATACTTTAATCGTTCGCTTTGGTTTTGCTTCGCATTATCATTCCTCAGTGAAACAACTGACACAGTTTAACGTAGCTTAGAGTATCGTTGATTTTATCCAAGCCCGATTACCTGCCGTACCCAAGTTCTAGGCACTAGCGGCCTACCAGGCTACTATTCTGCATGTTTTTCATTACACAACTCAGTCATAGTGACTAACCGGCATTGCACCTACTGACCTAACATGATAGTTTTGAGCTCCCTTTATACTGTATATGCTGAAGGATTTACCATTGTTCAGGCTAGAGAAATTACTAGTTTCTCATATAATAGACCGATTCCATTGTACGTTTTGTATGTATGAACCTTAGGGTTTTAGTTCGAAGATGGTTTCGGTTAGAGGTTCACGGTTCTCTGGTTAGGGTCTGCGAGACGATGAGCACGGTGGGATGGATACACTTGTTGACATGGCTGGAAACCGATCACAGTGGCGTTTGTGTTTTGAATTTCTTAGTCCCTCTCCCTCCAACGATGATCTCATTTCCTAGGCATAATATAGCTCATTTTGCAGCACAATAGCCGACTGGTAGCTCTCCGGAACGAGACTCATCCGTCACTGATGGCTCAACTGGCGTAGCTCTGTTACAGGCTTTCTGTTCTGATTTTCTTATTTAGTGCGGAACAATAGCTGAGGTGTTTCCCACCAGTAGCTAACGTGTATAATGATGATGTTATAATCATATTTGAATCTTGTAACTTATTTTTACACTCTCTAGAAGTATTTACTAGATTGAAATTCACGCATTTTGATGCAAACGCCTATACAATGCTTGATTTGGAACCACTTACATATGTTACTTCTTTTCTCATTACGGCTTCCGGGACTGCAATTCCTTCCAACGTTTTGATAGAACGCATTTTAGGAGGAAACACTTGATTGATTTCTCGGAACAAATGGAACTGAAATTGCTTATTATCGACGCATCAGCAGCACGCCGGCCCAACGTACCGACACTTTGCTGCTAGCCAACCACCACCAGTCGCGCATGATCTGGGTATACTGTGGTCGTCTGCGCTTACGCGGATGCGAATAGGTGGCCTCCAGCTACCAAGATGACTGTTTGCGGCACAATATCCGGCTGTTAGCTCTCCGGAACGATATCCGTTACTGCTGACACAGTCGACGTGCCTCTGTTTCACTTTTTCCTTGCCTTTTGTATTGCGGCATCATAGCTGATGTGATTTCTCCTTTCAGCTAGCGTGTATAATGGTAATGTTGATGGATACCAAGACAGGCGCTTAATTCTTTCGACAACCAACCGACTCTATTGCTGAACAGTCCAGATATACTAACGGTTCTGAATGAAAGCAGTCTATAATGATCGGACTAGGTTCACTGGAACATGTCTCGTGTGACCGAGATATATAGTAGCATTATTAGCATTATTATCATAATTATCTTGGAATGCACAAAAGAAAGATTGCAAGTGCAACGAATAAGCAAACACGTTCAGGGGAGCACGAAAATAGTGCCACTAATGCCAATGAGGAGCAAACGAAAAGTGGACCAACCTGCATTTCCTCCAAAGTTTCCTGCAAATCGACTTCTGACTGCATGAAACGCTTCGGTTGGTCTGGAAACTTTGTTCGTGCTTCTTGGTTGGCCAATGCACGTTTCTCGAGTAACAAAGTGAGACGACGAATGGTGGAATCATCCACCTCACTTGCCCCAACGGTTGTCGGGAGACCAAGTTCGTCATCAAGATCGTAGCCGGTGAGGTTAGTGTCGTGCAACTCTGAGGAAAATGACACCAGGATGATAAGCATCAGTTGACCGGTGCACGGGGTGGTCAATACTCTGATCATTTGGTATAGAACAACACGTACCACTTAAAAACAGAATCATTTGCTGTAAGGAGCAAGTGCTCAAGATAGATGGAAAGTGTCCAACCATTGGCTGAACATATTGTCTATGTCATTAGAAAATAAGAAGCAAAAAAGCTTACATGCATTTGGATGTGTGCAACAAGGGCTCCATCAACATAACAATCAACTGCAGCAGTAGATAAGCCATTTGAACGGATGCTTACCTGCCAAAAAACCATGTTAACCTATGAAATAAAGTATAATAAGAGGGAGAGAAGGGGGACCTACCTGAAAATCTTAATGCCCTGAGCAAACTTGCAGGATCAAGGCAACTACACCTTGTGTTAACAACATACCATCACAAACAGCTGGTTATCGTACAAAGATAAGGCGGCATCAGTAAGACAGCTTCCTTGCGGCTTTCATTGCCCCGCGTCATAATCAGCCATTACCCCACCGATAACACAGCACCACAAACTTTAAACAGACAGTCCGACTAGGAGATGGTAGCAGACGCGCCACTGGGTGTCAGCTGCGAGCCATGCCCTGTAAAGTTTAGAGTCAAACACAAGGCGGGTCACGTGGACTCCAGCCCAGAAGGCGAGACAGACCAACAGCAGCCGAGTTGGTCGTCAGCGATTCCGTTTCCGGATGTCAAGTCAAATGTTGTCCACCTCGAGCTTTGCGCCACCTTACATCTGGCAGGCTAAACAAGTCCCTTCTCGGTAAGCGGTGACTAGGTATACGTAGTACGCGCCCAAGCCAAGGCAACTTGTTTAGTGCTATCTGTTGTCCTAAGGAACTAGTTTGGTTATCACAGCCTAGTACTCCCCTAGGCACATCATTGTTGCGGACACGCTGCTGTCACTCGACACCAGAAATGCTTCTCAGACAACCATGATCAAAGATTTGAAGGCGCCGTCGGTCATCAAATCGAAGGAGCCAAGTCTCACTCCCATGGAGCAGGACGGCTCTCACTGTGGCCTTGTGAACATCATCATCATCAGCATCAACAGTAGTACATCAGCCATTTGAACTGATGCTTCGCTGCCATACGACCATGAGGACATATGAAATAAAGAATAAGAAGAGGGAGAGAAGGGGGACTTACCTGAAAACCTTAATGCCCTAAGCAAACATTCAGGGTCAAGGCGCCCACACCTTGTGTTAACAATATACCGTCACAAACAGCTGGCTATCGTGCAAAGATAAGGCGGCATCGGCGAGACAGCTTCCTTGCGGCTTTCACTGCCACGCGACATAATCAGCCATTACCCCGCAGATAACACAGAACCAAACACACTTTAAACAGACAATCCGATTAGGAGACGGCATCAGACGCGCCACTCGTGTCGGTTGCGAGCCATGTCCTGTAAAGTCTCAAGCCAAGCACAAGGTGAGTCACGTGGACTCCAACCCGGAAGGCGAGACGGACCAACGGCACCCAGTTTGGTCGTCAGTGACTTCATTTCCCGTTGCCAAGTCAACTTCTGTCCACCTGGAGCCTTGCGCCATCCTACATATGGTAGACTGAACAAGGCCCTCCTAGGTAAGCGGTGACCAGGCATGCGTAGCACGTGCCCGAGCCAACGCAACTTATTCAGTGCTAGCTGTTGTTCTAGGGAGCTAGCATGATTATCACCACCTAGTACTCGCCTACGCACATCATCGTTGCGGACACGCTGGTGCCATCCGACACCAGCAATGCTACGCAAACAACGATGATCAAAGACTTGAAGGCGCCTCAGATCTTCAGACCGAAAGGGCCAAGTATCACTACCATAGAGCAGAACGGCCCTCACTGTGGCCTTGTGAACGCCGCTTTACAGACGGAGGGAAACTCCCTTCTGTCGCCAAAGATGTCGCAGATTCAAGAAGACAGTTCTGGCTTTTACAATGCAAGAACTGGCTACAGATTCTATGCGTCCATCGCTGCTAATGCAGCTGCCAACGTAAATGAATCGATCAAAAACCTCGAGTTCCTAGCTATCAAGGGTAAAGGGGTCATCAAGTGGCTGGTGGTCCTGCAACAACACTTCGCACTTTGAAGATGCGAAGCGCATACCAAATAATGGTAACAATCTAGAAAGGCTATTCAGAGTTGATTATGCCACCGCAACATAGTCAAACAGCAAGACGATATCGTCCGCATAATCTAGATCAACTAACCTTTCACCAGGCAGCACTTCAGCGCCTACATCGTGAGATTCCGCAAGGGAACACTCCACGATGGAGTCCAGAACGAAATTGAACAAAAGCGGGGAAATCGGACAACCCTAAGGAACGCCACTTGTGGTCGGAAATCTACCAGAAAGGTCACCGTAGAACCTGACATGGCCTGTAGTCTTTGAATACAGAGCAGGTAAGATGTTCACATATTTCATGGGAACACCTTGCCGCGCAAGTATTTCCAACAGAATGCATCGACCGACTGAGTCAAATTCTTGAAGTCGAGAAACAAAGCTGTTGTCGGTCTGCAGTATGCGTGACGCTATTCAAGCACCTGGCGCAGAGTGAATATATAGTCTATACAGCCACGTCCTGGGCGGAAGCCTGCCTGCTCTTCCCTAATCCAAGATTCCTGTACCACAGTGAGTTGACAAACGATAATCTAGGCCGGTAATTTTGTCACAACTGGCGTTAGATTAATACGCCTGTGGTTAGCACAGTCGATGCGACTGCCTTTTTTGCATATTACCACTATGATCGATGCACTCCAGTTAGCCGGGACGGTTTCCGCCTTCCATACATGTTCGAACAGTGAAGTCAGTGTTTTGCAGAGGACCACACTTCCATCTTTAAATAGCGCAGGTGGAAGGAAATCCGCGCCAGCAGAACGAAAACGAGTAAGTGCTGAGATCGCGTTTCAGACCTCAGCCTCCGATGAAGCCTATAAACTAACCGTCCATGGCTCGACCTGCATCACTTGGTTAAAAAGACGTCCGAGAGCAAGGGCCAACTGAACTGATCTTTAAAGTGTGCTGTCCAAAGAGCTATACAGCGCTCCTTAATGTGTAGGTGTGTGTGTACCAGTGTAGCTTCGCTCTCTGATTGTCTCACTGACACTTAGTTTCCTGGGACCGATGGTGTGCATAAGCTAGAAGAGCTTGCGGTAAACACCTACTGCTCCTGCTTCATCCATTTCTTGAACCCGACTGGAACCACCAGGCTTCCTTCCCAGCAGGCAGCCCACATTTAGGTCGTGTCTAACAGCCCGTCTGGTCATAATGTGCTCAGAGTCAGCCAAGACTTTTCATCTGGATTCCAAAAGATTCACCAACCTCTCGGATATCCAATGACTGGTGTGGTGACGATTGATAGTGCCACAAGCATATGCTCCTGCGTCGTGCATAGCGGCCGAGATCCTATTCCACTGAAGCTCAGTGTCATTAGAACAGCAGAGCGAAAGTTCGGTACGCAATGTCCTGATAGGCTCGCCTGACCGAGAGATGAGACAATTTCTCAGTTGTCAATCGGGGGAGAGGTTTGGAGCACCTCCCGTAAAGTTAATGGAGAAACGACAGTGCACCAAGGCATGATCAGAATGGACGAAGGTATCCCAGAACGAGCGACAATCCAGGATGGAATCACGCTACAAGTAACTTAGGCAATGTGATCTATTTTGGTCCATTGTTGGCCAACTACAGGAGGACACCAAATGGCACTTCGGCGCCCACTGTAGCTAAAAGCTGTGCTACTAAGAAACAACTGGTACGCTGCACAGTTGCAACAGACGATTGCTGTTGTCCGTCCCTTCAGGGTTAAGTCCATATTTGCCACCTAGCTGAGCTGCTGAAGAGCTCAGACACTCTACTTGTGCGTTCATATCCCCTTCAAGTACTATAATATCTGAATTAGTAGCACTGCGTAGTAGCGCGTTCACTTCATGATAGAATGTGTTTTTGACAGCATCAGAACTGCAGTTGGTGGGATCATAAGCGGAAATCACTAACAAACAGCGTCCTGAACGACGTCGTTAATCAAGCTTGGTCGATGTCGTCAAACGGGTTGCACACGGGTATCCAATCAACTAACAATGACTCAGCCTTGGAGCTGAGTACGTCACCTGCCCCAGCTTGACCTGTGAGTGCTCTGTCAGTTTCTCCGGATGCGTGCAACCAATAGCGAGAGAACAAGCTTATTAAGGTCACTGATCTCAGCTTCGGGCACACAACATATATCAATACCCAAGATATCTAACGTGAGTGCGAGTGCAGCCCGTTGACCTACTTGTCTTACGGTGCGAACGTTGAACGCCTCCAAGGAAAAGGGACAGCGTGGCCTTACAAGGGGTTGTTACCGATAGGCGTCCGGTGGGAATTGTGGGAAGGTAATTGCAGATGGTTCCACTCCAGTGACATTTCAGTTGCTGTCAATTAAGCTGGGAACTATAGAAAGACTAGTCATGGCGGTCGGGATGGGAGTAAGAGAAACAGTTGGAAAAGAAAGGAGGCGCCAGTCGTTTTCGCTTTTCCGTGCTGCTGTATGCATCAGATGAGGCGACCCTTGATAATCTGCGCGACGGCCGATGAAGGATGTGGTTGAATTTTGAAGAAATTATCATATTTGTACGAGGGCTGAGATACTGCCAGGCCTAGACAGGAGGATGAGTGGGGTCCTCAAAGAAAGCCTTTGGCAGCGCATGTGGCAACGACTCGGTTTTACGTAAATGGACGCCATAACGTTTCAAACTCCCAACCTGGAGGGCCAGAAGACTCATCATCATCATCATCATCATACACGTTAGCTACTGTGCCGCAGGCTAGGAGACTGAGTTCGTCTGACTAACCACTGACGAACTTGGTAGGAGAAGCTCCATCGGGACCGGAGGTACCACCCAGTATTGATCAATGAGCCGACAAGGTACGCAAACGGTCGCACCAGGTTAAGGTCCAGTCTCATCGCAAGGAGTCAGAGAAAAGTGCCTATC